GGGGTCCCCCCAGGGGAAAAAAGGTTGTGGAGGGGGGGTCGCGGGAAACGGCCTTTTTTTTTTTTTTTTTTAAATGTGTGAAGCAAAATGTAAGATCACGTGGTTGAGCTAAATCTAAATGTTGGTCTAAATGGTGGATTTCTAAGTTTGGAAATGACTGCAGAAAACAGCAGTAACCTTTTTCCAAGTTGCTGGGAGACCTTTTCTAAATGTTACGGCCCAAGTGTCTTACACTGACTCTGTGAGGAGGTCAAATAATCCAGGTTTATTTCAGGCTCTAATGAGTCACGGCGGGACTTTTTATATTTAACAAAAACCGTATCAAAAACTCAACATGTGAGCAGAACGACTTCTACTACTGTAAGAAAACAGAAGTTTGACGGTGATTGTTTAAAGTTTGAATTATCATGGAGTGACTTTGATCTTCAACATTAACGTCTTTTTGGGCAACAAAAACAGTTTTTCTTTCTTTTTTGTTTTTAACAAAGATACAGTGCTTTACCGTCATCGCAGCTGAAGCGGCTTCCTGTTCCTCTTCTGGCGTCTGACAACTGTTTAGTGGTCACCTGGGTCACCAACCGAGCCAGTCACCTGCGTTTTGTCCGAGACGAGCTGTACCCTCACTGGGGGGTCGAGGTTGTCGCCGAATGGTTCTGGGTGAAGGTAGAGAAACGTTGAATTAGTTAACACATTAACACATCCATGAAGCTGCAGTTATTTTTATATTTTTGTCTGTTCTAGCAAATGTTGCAGATATTTTTTAAAGCTGGTTCTGTTTCTGTAGGTGACCTCGTCTGGACACTTCGTGTTTCCACTGGATTCCGTTCACAAAAAGCCGTATGAGGTTCTGGTCCTGGGCAGATATCGTTCTTCATCACATCCATCCATCAGGTGACGTCATGTAAAGTACAACTGATCAAATACTGTGTTCCTTGTTTTTTTAATCGTTTTTACTTGTTTTTTTTAATCCCCCAAATTTCCCAATTTCCCCCAAACTCTCTCACTTAAATGTCGTTTTATTAAAATCTAACTTGAAGTCGCTTCTACTGGCAGCTTTTCAAAGATTCCGGAAATTCCTGTAGAGGGCGCACGTTTGATTGTCAGCGTTCCTTCAGCTCTTCATTCGCAGAAGCCTCTACTCTCAGGTAACCACCAGAGGGCAGTCCTGTATCATCACTAACTTTACTCTGATTTGAAAAAAAATTGAATCTGAAAACGCAGAATTCTTTTTGTTTTTAAGGTAAAAATGGCAGAAAAATAAAAATAAAATCAATATTCACAACTAGAATGAAACCAATGTTTCTTTCTTAGCTGAGTAAGAATATTTTTGTAAAAGTTGGAGTTATATTTAGAGGACGTTCTTCTTGGTTCTCGGTGAAGGCCGTGATTCCACAAAGACAGAACTGTTATATTATTTTTTTGTACCTGAACATTTACTTCTGTCATTCATTTACTGAATAACTTTTTGTTTGGCTCTAATTGGACCAACTCTGACGTGGACCACGATACTGGGAATCAATGTAAGACCTTGACAGTGAATATACAGGGAGTGTGAATGAGAGAAGCTTGACGTCACCAGCCTCCGTCTCACGGGGACGTGATTTATCGTCAGAGAGTTTAAAAAAAAAAATCATCTGCACTGTCGGCCGATGTTCTTTTACAGAAAAGCCTCCGTCCACCTGACGGCTGTGCTGTTAAATATGTTGACGTTTCATTGAAATCATGTACACGGGGGCAGTAAAACAGTGAAGCAGGATACAAACGTTGACCGACGTGTAAAACAAAAAAAAAATCTCTCTGGAAATCCTGCCAGTTCCGTTTCGTCTCCTCTCACGGGTCTACACGGGCTTCAGAACCCGGTTCTAGCCTCACTGGCCAGTAGCCCTCCTTCATCCTCACCGTGTCTGACCTGCTTCTGTCGGCAGAACTGAATTCATTGCAATGCACGAAAAAGCAGCGGCAGACTGTAAATGTAGACCACTTTAATGACCCCCCCTCCTCACGTGTTGTTGTAGCCTGAGTTTCTTCGCTCCACACCTGGCCTGTTCGACCAAGTGTTCTGATTGGTGGGTGTGTTTTTTTTTAGTTGTTGAGATGATCTCCTCACAGCTGCGACCCCTGACCTCTGCCACCAATGAGCTGTGTTTAATGTCTACCACCGTTTTACACCTCAGGACATTTATCTTTAAACGTGATGGTTTTGCCGCCAGAATGAATAGTCAAACTTCATTAAAAGATCATGTAACGAGAGCCCGGAACGATCCGATCTCTGGGAGTTGGTCTGATCTATAACTACTCTAGCAGAGAGCCTTCAAGACCTGTGGAGTTTTAGTCAGGGTGAGTGTGATCGTCGGGGTCGGTGGGGCGATCCGTGGCCCACTGTGGTTGAACAAACCAACATCTCAAGTCAAACGTGTTCCTCTGAGCTGAACAGAAATCACTGAATCGTTGGCTGCTGCTTCTTTTCTTTTTTTTTTCACATCAAATTGGAAATGAGATCGTAATTTGACTACAGGATGGAAATTAATTCACTGACAAACATGAAAGTCTTGAGGGAAAAACAAGACGCAGCATCTTAGTATTTAATGATGATCACAAACAGAAAGGAAAGATATTTATAGCAGCTATTTAAAAATCACTTTAAAAAAAAAAAAACAGGCGTTGCTTGAAGTTTTAAGGATTTTATGCTAATTTCAAATGAATGAAAAATCCGAGGGGACCTGAAACTGAACCCTGTGGAACCCGGTAGACTCCACGTCACTGAGAGAATTAGGGGGAAAAAAATAAATTAACTGCTATGTAAACGTCTCTGACAGGACATTTTAAGGCTTCTAATCATAATTATAGTGATTGATGTCATGTTTTATTCAAAACTGAAATATATTAAAGATGAGCAGCGTCTCCTGCGAGATTACATTAAAAGCCATTATGTGACTACTGTAATAGTGCTGTAATTGATCCAGCATTCTCCGACTGAATATATTAGCCGTCTGGAGAAGAGTCAAGTGTCTCCTGCTGTCTTTGGGAGAAGTTTGGTACGTTGACCATTTTGGGTGACTTCAGTGGCTAATTGGACCTTTTTATTCTCTGTTCAACTTTGAGGACTGAGTCATGGCTCTGGGCTGGAAATGAGTGGAAGTGTCGCATGTTTGGCCTTTCACTGGGCTGACAGGGAGTGTTAAAAAAAAAAAAAAAAAAAAAGGCTCAGGACACCACACTGTTCAGGTTAGCTAGGTTTAGGGATGGAGCTTTGTGAGCTCATTAACTTCCCAAGTATCAGCGTGTTTTTTGAGCGTGTCCGAGGGCATACAGTGCAGCAGTGGGGCAGAGGAAGTGAAAGGCGTCTGTCAGATGATGTGCTGCTGCTGCTGCTGCTGCTGGAGCATCATCACTTATAGACTCAAGGTCACTTTCAGTCCAGGTAGAAAAACCTATTCCATGGTGTGATGGAGCTGGGCAGGTGCCAGTGGTGTTCTATCACAGTGTAACGAGAAAGGCTCTCACACGAGGTACAGATGCTACGTCAAAACGCTAACGCCAACGCCACTCCACTAGTTACTAACAATCCTGAGATTATAAGATCTTGTTTATGAATGAAACAGAATGTATAAACGAATATGCAGCGTCGTCAAAGACCTGGAGTCAGATCAGATTCAGACCTGATTAATCAAAAACAGAAATGGGAAAACTGTGTTACAGCTGCTAATGTAAAACACCTAAAGAGACATATACATACATATACATTTAAATATATGTATATGTACATATATATGTATACAAATATATGTTTGCTCTGATTCAGAAATGATTCTATCGAGTCAATCAAATCAAATGAAATGAACCGGAGGCAGGATTTGGATCATTTCAATCATTTGGCCTGAAATCAGTTCCACAGTTTTTGTTCCTTCTGTTCCACAGAGGTTCTCAGGCCGTACGTCGGAGCGGAGGCAAAGTGCTTGGAACTGTTTGCGCGGAATCTTCATCCTGGATGGACCAGCTGGGGGAACGAGGTGCTAAAATTCCAGCACAGCAGCTATTTCACCGTGACACCAGTTCAGGAGTCGGCCGAGGTTTTTAAGAATGAAGACAAAAAAGACGAGGACAAATGTCAGTCGTCCGACTGATCCTCGTTGAGACTTTTTTTTTACCAAGAACTGAAACTGATCTTTAATAAAGTTAATGATAAAATGTTTCTTGCGCGGTTCTTTTTGATCTCATCGAGCGAGACTTCGGGTCGGGATACAATTTTGAAGATGAAGAGATGAAAGCGAAGGTCAGTCCAGGCTGAGGATCATAGACATGTCAGACATCCTTCAGATAAACAACACCAGCTATTTTTGATCTGTTTTTGACTAATATTCGGCTCCAGACGTGCGTGAAGAACGATCAAAGAGTTTCTATTTTCATGGCTTTAACTCACGAGGAGCTGTGGTTCACTGGAACAACCACCTCCTGCCTGGACTCCCATCACGTTAAGGACAGTCTGTCCATGAACCTCCCAGTGAAAGATGGCGCTCATCTGCGACCGTCCAGACGGCCTACTCTCTCCTACAAGGTAGGGCTTCTCTCTGATGAGTGTGTGTTGGCAGAGGAGGGAGAGAGGAAGGTGCGCGGTACGGTGCAGCAGTGGTTATGGAGGAGTAAGTCTGTCGGTGAGGCAGATGAGCATGAGTTACTGCCTCTGCCACAGAGAGTACGTCACGGATAATGAAGACGGAGAGCGACTACAGCAGGGTCTTCTACTCTTTACTCAGTCATGCTGTCTGTCTGTGTCCGTACCCCCTCCACTGCCCCCCCAAACCCCTCCCCACACACAAACACCACTGATGTAGTTCTGGTCAAAATGGACTGAAATAATCCTTTTTTTAAAAAGACAAAAAAACAACAGTTACATGAGGCAAAAAAAAATGTTTTAGTTCAGTAAATATAACGATAAATATTGTACCAGAATATTCTAGAACAGATTATTGTGTGAGGTGATTCTCATGGCAGTAAACGACGTACGATACCAGAGGTTTTTAGATTTCTTAAACAGACGACAGCTAATCATTAAAGACCCTTTAATGATGCTAGTAGGCTAATCTTTTTTCTCCGATTTATTTCTTCTGATTTTCTTTTTCTTCAAAGTTCATTTCTTATATATATATATTTTGTACTTTAAGTCTGAGTTTGACTATGCAAGCTGCCATATTGGACCAGTAAAAGCCAAAACCTGAGTTGAAGGTTCATCAGTTACAGCATCCAGCAGAGTGTACCTTTGATCATTATTGTGTCAGGCCATGGTTGAAAAAAAATATATACATCTGAGGTTGTCGGGTTGGCCACGCTTCATTTCTCTAAGAATGAAAGTAAATGGTTAAAATAATAACCGACCATCCGACCAATGACATCATCTCTCTGTCCTGACTCTCTTCGTCTCAGTGGCCACGATGTTTCTATTTTTTACAGAAAGAAAAAGAAGGAAAAAAAAAAGAACATAGCCAGATGATGTCACCATCCCTCTCTTCCAGGCCGTGTCACACTGAAGATGAATGAACAAGTCGTCGCTCCTTTTCTCAAAAACCCGTTTCTAAACTCCTAATCCTCCTCAGACAGAGGCTTCACAGTTCACACCGTTAACACACATCAGCAGATCACCGATCGTGATTAGACCTTTGTCGTCAGGACCCCGAAAAAACTCGACCTTGGACGACACCCCACAGGTCGGAGCCATTAAAGCAACAGGTGATCACAACGCCGGTCTAACACAATCACTGCAACATTTGACTGAAGGTGGACCGACAGACGTCGATTAAGAAACAAAACCAAAATAGTTGACTTCAAAATAAAAGTCCTGCAGGACTTTAAAATTAACAACACCCTCCGAGGGTCCAGTCAGAAATATTCAATCATCCGGATTTTGTTTCCTACAATTAAACTGTTGCCAAAAAAAAAAAAAATTGCAGAAAAAAAAACTATTGATGTCGTTACAGTATCGCAGTACAGTCGTCCCTCGCCGTATCGCGGTTCGGCTATCTGTATTGTAATGTATTTCTATTTTTATATTCATTTTTATATTTTCAATATTTTCATTATTGTTGTGATAAAATACACAACATTTTGTAACGTTGCCCCGTACTGTGCTGTACCAGCAGATTCACCAGATTCTTGTCAATACACGTTCCTAGTAATATTTAAATTAAATATCATGTACTTTATTATACTTTGTTATGACCAAAGTTCTACGTGTCAATGGAAAACTCAGAAACATGTCTTTGACTAACGTACTTTTTCAGATTTATGAAACACGTTAGCAGATGTACTTGAGCGTGGCTACATTTGTGCGCGAGCTGTCGCAGGAGAACTCCCTGGAGCCGCCTGTGGTGATCGGGCAGACACACTTCCCATGCAACCGTGGGTACAAGAAAGGTTGCTGTAAATAGTCGGAAGCTTTGTCAACAACTGCACTCAGAGGGGGAAAAAAACAGAGCCTGTGGTTCAGAGACAGCAGAGGAGAAAAGTGACTCTCTCTCATCACAGCGTCACCTCCCACAGGAGCTGCGGAGAGGAGAGAGGTAACTATTCCTACGTCTCCTTCCCGAGGCCCCGTCCTCCGCTGCTGTGTCGGCTGTAAACATGTGCACAAACTCAACTTCTGAGAAGCAGGGACTGCGAGCGGCAACACATTAGCAGTTTAGTCAGTCGGCAGCATCAGAGAGAATGAGAAATCTGAAGTGTGCCGACACAGAAACCACGAGTCCCAGGGTATAAATTCATCACCGACTCTTGTGTTTACTGCAGCGACCCCAGGGTATAAATTCATCACCGACTCTCGTGTTTACTGCAGCGACTTTAGATTAAAAAAATAAAAAAAAAAAGGATTTTTGTGGTAAAATTAAGAGTAAAAAAAAAAAAATTATCACCCCTGGATATTTTTAACTGCGTTGGCTCTCATTATTCCGATTGTTAAAAAAATAAAGACTTATACTTCACGCTCCAGACCGCTGGATTCATCAGCAGAAGCACTGATATTTAATATTAGTAATTTTTCCCCCAGACGTACTTTGTCTAACAGGCGCAGCTTTGATTTCCTGTCTGACACACATTCAAATGATAATTCCATCTTCTCAAAGGATTCATTTAGCTCTAAACCTGGGACGAGCGGAATCAAAGAAAACACTTGGCTGAATATGTTAGATATATTTAAGAGGGTGTAGAACTCTTGGAGCTAATATAATGAGATTTAGCGTAGAGCCGAGTTCTTCACCAAATCACTTCAAAGTCACTGCGAGGATGAGATATATATATATATATGGATATTAGTCGATATACGAAGACGAGATACTGAGCGTTAACTGGAGACACTGAAGAGCTTATAAGAACCAGAACATTCTGCAGCACCTGGATCTGACACCTTCACTCTGCACAAGAACAGGTGACAAAAAACGACACAACACAGGTCACGGTGTCACGACTGTTCCTTTAAAGGGGGACATAATATTCTGTTCACATATTTGTGTCTGAAGTTCTGAAGTCCAATAACAAAGTAGACGTTTTACAAACTTACAAAATCTGAAAACTCCTCTAGAAAACTGAATTAATTTTCTTTTTAAAACTAGAATTTGAAATTTGTATTTCAATTTATTTTCAAACTGTAAAGTCAGACAAATGTGTTTCATTTCATTTTGGCCGTACAAATTAAACTGACTTGACTTGACGAGAAGAACTTTCTGCTGCAACAACTGCCAAACAGAAACACAATCAAACGCTCACTGAACAGAAAAGACACAAACTTTGAGAAGTGACTCGACTGTCGGCCCTTTGACCTGAACTGATAATGGATGCCTTATGTTTATTTACACCTCTCACCACCGTTTATAATGAACACTAATTACTTCTTCCTGTCACTGTGTGGGTTTTGCCATCACCACCAAACCAACACGAAGGCCTGGCAACCCGGAGGAATGGATTCTTAATTGCTCATTAGACTAAAAGCTGAGCTGCCTCATATTTTTGTCTTCTGACTGCAGGGAACCTGCAGCTCCCTGACCTGTACTCAGGTTGGTCGCTCTGATGTAGCTTTTTTTACAAATTAAAATATTTGAATACACCCTAAATTCTGTGACGCCCAAATGCTAACACACAAAAAATATATAATCTGTCTGCAATTCAAGTCAACTCAAAGTGGTGTCAGAACGTTATGTACGGACGGTGTGAAGATCCAAACGTGAGCAGCTCGTCCACAACAGTCGCAGGAGGAGATCGTTTGAGCAGTATTAGCAGCACGGGTGTCAAAATGGTGGACAGGTGGACGGCAGCAGGAGGGAAATCGCTCCATCATTTGGCTTTGAGTCACGAGAATGAGTCACAGTAACTCTTTTGTTCTCAAGTTATTTTACAAAAAAAAAAACACAATAAAACTGAAGGTTCTGCCTCGGCCCAACGTAGGATAAACGTAGGACTACGTGAGGACAAAGTGAAACTCAGGTGGAGCTGCTGGATGAGTTGAAATGAAGGAAATGAAGAGCCGTACTTGGATGATAGCACACCTGGTTTCTTACTTCGAGAGGATTCTAAATTGCAGGACTGAAGATGATCTTAAGATGAGCAGAACGTTTGGACGAGCCACGTGGTGCGACCAGGATTAGAAGAGACTGTGGGTCTGTGTTTGTGCCGCAGCTGCTCCGTCACCAAGAGGAGTTCCCATCAATCAGGAGTCTCTCTGTGGTTCGTCTACACCTGTCTAGACTTCAACCTCTGCAGCACTGAGACCGTGACCTCTGGACGTCTAAATATTTTTAGCTTAAACCACAGAGGACAAAAAAATGATGTTTATGCTTTTAGATCTCGCAGCTTTTAAATCTTCAACAGCAAAAAAGGGAAATTTATTGGACGTTTGCACAGAAAGGCAGAGGTGGAGATCAGGGGATCCACAGAATAATCTCGGGTATCGACGAGGAAGCCTGTGTTCACTATTGAGCTCAGTGTCAGTGCGGTGATAAAGTGATGCTAATTTGGTGGAATCAATGTATTCAAATAGAAATGTCTGCCAGGAACAGTGAGTTACAGCAGGATTTATCTGGACGTTAAAGTTCAACACCACAGTTTTAGCCGATGTCATTTGAAACAGTGACTGAACGGAGTCAAAAACCATGCAGTAAAATCTAAAAACAGACACAGAATTATAAAAACCTCCCTGCAGAGGTAACAATGTTGGCCTTGTGACAGTCAAGAAACAATAAACACATGTACTACTACAACTCTTGGCTTTTTTTCCTCACAGACTCGAGTCCTTCATCAAACTCTGTACACTGCCACAATAGTTTCACCTCCCTCTCTCTCTGTCTCCCTCCCTCTCTCTCTCTGCTGTATGAAAGCGTCTCGTCTGCTTCATCTTCCCATAAACCTCCAGATGCCAGAACAAGACACAAACAGCTGTTCTTTTGTGTACAAATAAGCCCACTGTGCCACCAGTCTGTCAGAGGATCAGGGATTTTTGGTAACACAATCGTTCCACCACGTCTGATTTCCTTGTTGTTTACTCCAGCCTTGACTTTGTGGGTCATTTTTTTTCAT